ACTCCCCAGGTTCCTAACCATGGTCCTGGAGCACTGCCTGTCCTACACATTTTAATGTGAGTGTTAGAGTGCTCCAACACTCCTGTTCAACTAATCAGCTCAGTAACAGCCCTTCCTGAGTGGTGTTAAAGCAGGAAAACACTAAAATGTGCAGGACATGGGGTTCTCCAGGACCAGGGTTGAGAACCTGTGATGGGGAAGATGGTCAGATCGCTGCACTAAAGGCTCTGGAACAAACTGCAGCTACAACAGTTAAACTATCCCAGATCCTTAAACCAGGGTTTCTCAACAGTGAGAGCGTCTGAGATGCAGACGGCAGGACGTTTTACCAACCGGTACTCAATTGTTTAAGGCAGGTCTACATGTATGATTAAATAATTAATAATAATAATAATTAAAACTGTTGGACTGGCCAGGCCCTGAACACTGAAAGTGAATTAACACTGTGGTATCATTTCAGGGTTCAGTGTCTTCATGTGCATCAAAGATATACACACACACACACACACACACAGTGATTAATAAGAGCATTGTTAAATGTAGAAATATAAATATCACGTGCAGTTAAACAGTTAAATGTGATGTGTTTGTTACACTGATCTGTTAGGAGCAATTTTGATTTTTAAGTTTTTTTCAGCGAAGTGTGCAATTACAGTAATGCACTGTGAATTTTTAATGTAGCAGTCCTATAATTTCTAATATTTTCCGATATGAAATGAATTATTGTGTGGAAAATGAGACTTCTGAGGCATTAAAAAAGACTCACTGAGGAAAATAAATGTTTATCTGATTCACAGACGAGCAAAGTCGCCATAGTTAGCTGAACAGTTAGCTGGATTTCAGCCATAGTGTCTACTTTTTTTGGTTTGAAAGACACCTAAATGTATTTCAATTTTTCTTTTTATCTTTAATCGTTATACACAGTGTTTGAATATATACGTGTATAAAATATTTGCGTTGTTTTCATTCATTCCCCCGCAGCTTCCCGCCTTCAATACAACTCAGCTAGCTCCTTAGCCTCTTAGCCGCTAATTACAATCTAACGCCATCCGTCACAATAATTCACATTTTCATGCATTTAATCTCTGCATGTTATTAAAATAAAAGCCAAAAATCAACTTACCGAACGAGTTTCATGATGGCAGTGAATTTCGAAACAAAACCCTCTACCAAAGTGAACAAAAAATTGTAGCACAACGACAGAAGTTCGTTATTCGCTACGGAAACACAGAGAACTGCTTCCGGTGTTAAACGGAAGGACTCCCTTCATGTTTACGTCATTGGTTTGTTGCCAGCTTGCGGTCATCAACATATTTGTAATTTAAAATAAAAATGTAATAAAGTAAAACATTTTTTAAAATATAATGATCGGTTTGCAGGTAGGTGTTGATTATAAATGTAATTAATTATGAGTGGATTTTATTTTTAATTAGAATTGTTTGTGCCACGTTTTAACAACTCAGCTATTAAACCCTTAACATTTAATTAAAAACAAAATAAAACAAAAACCAAACAAATAAACCACATTTCTGAGTACAGCATTGGGATTCATTCTCTTTTAAACTGTCAGTCAGCCTAAAACAGCAATAATGTTACTTTTATCCCAGATTTGATCTCTGTATCTTTTAAAATGAATCCCAAACTCAAATTTAAGCTGGAGTTTGCGATAATTAATCAACAGGAAAAATTAAAAACAGGAATAAAAGATGGTTTAACAGCAGTCATGATAAAAAAATAAAAAAATAAAAAGGTATAAACATTGTTGCTACTGGTCCAGCTTATTCCTGCTTCCTAAATTGTTCTGAGAACTTTTTTTTATTTCTCGTTTGGGTTTCTAATAATCTTTACATTACAGAAATAAAATAACAGATTTTTTTTTTTTCTGTAGCCTGATTATTGATTGTTGTCTTTGCAGAACACACAATCATGGCCATAATCCAGTATATTTACTTATCCACCTTTTTATTGGAGAAATGTGTTTAAACAGTGGCCTACTTTCAGAATTTCTGTGTAAATGTTTATGTAAATGGGTCGTCTGTTCCTTCACTGTTAGTCTGCCTACAAACAAGAAAAGCAATCTTCGGTAAACTTTGTGAAATTCCTACAGAGAATGTTACAAAAACAGTTTATCAGAGAGTTTGTGGTTATCAAGAAATGTGTTCTAAAATCAATCTTCCTGACCTTTGAGAACTTCCTGAAAGGGAATTTTATGGAATTGTAGTCTAACAAAGGTTAGAGTGTAGTTACAAAAAATAAAGTCTAAAATCAACCTTTCGCAAACATTGTGTACATCCTGGAAATGAACTTAATGGAAACAGTCCTGAAAGGTTAGTTTGTAGTTAAAAAAAAAAAAAAAAAACCTAAAAGCAACATTTGGTAAACATGAGAATGTCTCAGAAGGGAACTTTAACGAAATGATCCTGGAGGATTAGACTTAATAGATTAGTTACAACAACAACAACCTTATAACCTTTAGAGTGTTGTGTTTTAATTTACCATTTATACACATAAACACAACAGTTTACCAAAATTAAACATCCTCAGAGCGCTGTGAAATGATTCCCAAATAAAAACCAACACAAAAACAACACAAAACAAAAAATCGGGGAGCCAAATGCTAACGTTAGAAAAACATCCTGTGTGTGTTGGATGGTTTAATGGATGAATCTTAATAACTGTTGGTGAAACCTAGTTTATGACTATTGGAGGCTACAGCTAATAGTAAAAAAAAAAAAAAAAAAAAAAAAATTAATAAAAAATACAAGCCAGCAGGGCGGGATTCAGGTTTGAGGAGTAGTAAAGTTCAATCTGGCAACACGGAAAAAAAATTCAACACGGAAGTTAAAATACGGTTCTGATTGTCAACCCGGACCGAGAAACGCTTAAAAATTCTAAAGCTTTGTGTTTCTTCTGCATCCCGTTGCTTTATGCTCATTATTTTTGGTGGGGAAGATACTCCAGAGGACTGTGAGGAGGATTTGTTAGCATGATATTTGGTTTTTAGCCGGTGATGTCGGAGAGCTGCTTGAAGGATCAGGACTTAAACCCTACGTGTCACAAGCTGCGCGTGCAGCAACACTGGCATGTCGGGTAACACGGGTCGGGTGTTTCACATCATGTGTGTGTAGATCTACAGATCAGTATTGTTAATCCAGTCAGATATTGACATAGCCGAGTAGAAGAGGCAGCATGTTTCAGAAGACCTCTCTGACCACCATCATAGTGGGGGTCTTCATCGTCTACGTGCTGCACACGTGCTGGGTGATGTACGGCATCGTGTACACAAAACCCTGTGAAAAGCCCAGAAGTGACAACTGCATCAGTCCTTATCTTGCAGGAAAACCTCGCCTGCAGGTGAGCATCATGCACCACTGAACTTGTCCATGCTTTCAGACATGCCTTTGCTATATTTTGTGTGTTCTGTATGTGGTGGGAGGAATGACACCTTGCTGTCAGGAACAAGTCTTACACATGTGTTTTCATGCTGCTGATCTCCACAGATGAGCATCTACACAGCTCTGCGCCCCAACGCTGAAGGAGGACACACACTCATCCACAGGGAGGAGGATTTTGACGTGCACACCAGATTTGAGAGGTAAAGTGTTTCACCAAGCATGCATTAATGTCAGTGCTGTAGGCTTCATTTTATTGCAGGAAACACGCTGCCCGTGCTATACAACTCACCATGTTTAAAGTTTCTACTAAATATTAAGAAGTGGAGTGACCGAATGTGCCATGTTTTTCGGGACAGTCACACATTTCATCTTCTTTCTATGTATTGTGACCTATTCCCAAAAATCTTGCTTGTATTTTAGATGAAAGCATGAGTGCTTTATTTCTCTTGTACCACAGCAATTTGTCAATGATTACAGCTTTTCTATTTATGAAACAATGACACATCTTACTTTTATCCCTTTACAGTTACATTTAATGTTGTTGAACATCCACGAGATGAGTTTCTGTTATCACATGTTATAAAATCTATAAATAGTTCCTCCATCATGATCCTCCCCTTTTTTTCCCTCGTTCTGAAGTGAGTAAGACAGAAAACACAGCGTGACATGCTACTCGGAAAGTGTAAAGTCTTATAAATGTCGTTATTTTGATTTTTATATTTGTTTTTATTTGACAGTTATTTTACCATGATGGTCACAACGAGACAAAAATCTTTTACAAGCGAGTCCTGGCCAAGAAGGCAGACAATAGTTACCATAAACAACATTCACAGGACAGGACACAACAAATAACACCTATAAGATCTGTGTGAAATGATTAAAAACAGGAGAAATCGTGCATAAATATAACTGTAATTGTTTCAGTAACACCTCCAATGTCTTGCGGATCTCCCAGTTAGCCTGTAACGGACAAATATCTCGACACTCGAGTGATGAGGTGCTATTTGTCTCTCTCTCTGAAGGTTAATAAATGTTTCCCTGCCGAAGAAGACACGGAAGAATGGAACGCTGTACGGCATGGTGTTTGTCCATCAAGCGGGAATGTCTCCGTGGCAGGACCCACGCCAAGTGCATCTGGTCACACAGCTCACCACGTACATGCTGCCCAAACCCCCGGAGGTCAGCCTGATCACTGGCCAGGAGCTGCCCCGGGTGAGACGCTCTTTCCCTAACTAATGAGAGCGATGTTTGTTTTTAGCAGATATTAGCAGAGACTTTCTCTGTAACACTTTGTGTAGCCACCAAATTGTGACTGTTTATGAAACCTGTCACCCAGCAGCAGGAGCAGAGAACCCCGGGGGGCGATGGAGAGGCGGACCGGCCCGTGTCTCATTGGCGTTCCCGTCTCACACTGAACGTCGTGGCCGAGAACTTCCTGTTCGACCGAGAGGCCATACCGAGTGACGTGCATCGCTATATGAGAGTGTGAGTTTCCTCAAGTACACTTTGATACTTAGAAGATGAGATGCAAGCTTATTCTGACTGTTGTGAATTCTCTAAATGTGGGAATCCTGCTTAATTTCTGATAGTTCAGCACTATGTTAGTGCAGTGGTGGCTCAGTGGTTAAAGGCTCTGGGTTATTGATCAGAAAGTCCTGAATTCAAACCCCAGCACTGCAAACTACACCTGCTGGACCCTTGAGCAAGCTACTTAAGCCTCTCTGCTCCAGGGATGCTGAAGCATAGCTTTCTTGCTTTCTTGCTTTCTTGCTTGCTGTTTTGCTTTCTGTTTTGCTTCTGTCTTGCTGTCTTGCTTGCTTTCTGTCTTATTTTCTTTATTGCTTTATTGACATCCTTCTTTCTTGCTTTCTTTTCATGCTAGTATTATGAGACTCGTGCACTTGGCCTCATTTATCACTCTTTTACTAAAGTTGTGTGTAAGCCAAACCTAACTAAAAATTTCTGAAAGTTTCGGAAATGCTGATTTTCTTCACAGCAAAACGTGAAAAGGTGAAAATAAAGCTTGCTATGTACATTAAATTAATGGCTGAATTTCTACAGAAACCTTTGTTGTATAGAAGCATGGTGAGGTGCTGACGTGCGGTAACTGCATCCTGACTAGAGCTTTCATTTAGGGAGTAATGCGCTCTGATGTATTTGGGAACACGCCTGATGTTGGCATGCAGCACACTAGGAAGTATACGGCGCATTGTAGGCTGAGACATACCAGATCAGTCACTTATCTCTGTTTGAAACATACCAGTAGCAAGAAATCAAAGCACAGACAAAACCTGGACAGGAATGGAACGACAGATTTAAAAATATTATATTTGTGTGTAATTGAAATAAATAAGCAATTTAAATGATTTGAAGCCTATCAATCTAGGTTTACGTTAGTTAGTCATCTTATGCGTCTCTTATTACATTAGTTAATCATCTTATTTAGACACACTCAGGAGCAGGAATAGGATATGAACGTTTTTCTGAAATTACAGGATTTTCACGAATACCAAATTTCTTGTGTAAACACTCATCCAAACAATTTATGGATAAATCCATTCATATGCAGTTTGATGAAGGAGGCTCATTGTTTTTTTCGTTTGTTTTTTGAAATATATTTATTGGGAACACACAACAATACAAAATACAGTAAAACATTAAATATAATATTTTTGTTCCACAAGATGTTTACTTCTTTTGTATAAGAACAAATAAAGATAACAGAGCAGGTACATCATAAATGAGGTCCATTGTCAGCAGAAGCAGACATACTGATGTACTGATGTTTTTACAGAACTTTTCCTTATTTCCTGTCTGCTTTTTAGGTATCAGAGTGGGAAGAAGTTTGTGTACCTGCCTCTGCTGTTTATAGATGAGCTGAGTAACCGAGTGAAAGATTTAGTGGTATGTGATTCACTGATTGCAGTGTGAGATTCATTGTGTGTTTGTAGACATACAGCATGTCACATTAACGTGTCTTTCAGGAGATCAACAGCAGCACCACTGAGCTGCCTCTCATTATTTCATACGACACCATTGCTCTGGGAAAGCTGCGCTTCTGGATCCACATGCAGGATGCCGTGTACTCGCTGCAGCAGTTCGGTGAGCAACAGAACAGGTTCTTACCTGTGGGTCATGAGATATGATCATGTTTACATAATTTCACCTACAGAGCTTAGGTGTGCTGAATGTTAGTTTTCGTTTGGACACAGTTTGGTTTTGGTTTATGCTTGCAAACATGGCTTTGGTTTAAAGATAAAGCTGATGATAGCTTTTAGTAGGTTGGATACAGTGTCATTGTAGTTGGTGTGGAAAAGGAAGGAAAGAAAGAAAATATCAAAGATATCTTTAAATTCTCCTCTATGCAAATGCACCTGTTTTGATTCCTTACGAGCAGTAGTCTGCAAAGCGGTAATGTCTGCATGAAAATTAGAGAACATATGTTTATGCATTTGCTATGGTGATGGACCAGTTGTCGGAGGAGGTCAGACAAGAGTCTCCTTACACAATGATGTTTGCGGATGACATTGTGATCTGTAGTGAGAGCAGGGAGCAGGTGGAGGAAAACCTGGAGAGGTGGAGGTTTGCGCTGGAGAGAAGAG